ACGGAGTGTAGCCAGCAAAGCGGAACCTGAGTGTGTTCGGTACTGTTGACACTGTCGCCGATGTAACTGTACGGTAGCCTGCTACAATGGCTGGATTAACAATATTCGGTTTTGTGCATGTATTCGTCATAAGGATCCAATGCAAAGTACTGGTAACGAAGTGTAGCGAGCAAAGTCGAACCTGAGTGTGTTCGGTACTGCTGCCACTGTCGCTGATGTAACTATGGTAGCCGGCTGCAATGGCTGGATTGACTGGTACCAGGTACCGTATTCGTCATAAGGATCCAAACTGAGGCAAAGGGATACAGGAGACGAGCGCTGAAAAAAACCGAATACTACATACATGTACTACTGTAGCTATGTACCGGTAGCCAGCAAGGTCCGGAATTGAGCTGATTTCAATCGTGCAATAGAAGGTTAGTTTTACGGAAATGAGATTTCCGTAAGTTACGGATATCAGTTTCACGGAAATATCAGTAAATTACGGAAACGTTTCCGTAGAAATGCTAGTTTTACTGAATTTTCCGTAAAACTGTTAGTCGCAGTCGTGCTTAATGCATTTTCCAATGAGGATTCTTCACTAGTTATACCGTTTTTACTTTTACGTTTTAAATTCTACGGAGGACTGCAAGTTTCACGGAAATTTCCGTCAATTACGGAACGGAAATACAAAATCCGTAAAACTCAAAACAGTAAATTACGGAAATCAACTTCCAGTCGTGTTTCGAAGACCAATTCCAGACCTTGCTGCAGTGCGGACAAGGCTGGTTGGGTACGAGTACACGTACCGGTATCCCCACAGCCACAACAACACCCCAACCACACCATCAACAACAAGGGACAACACTAGTATGACATGTTCACATCCTTCAGTAACTATAATATTAGAATGAGGAATGGGTTCACCTGAAAGTCTTGAGTTGTGGTGTGTGGGAGTGGATCTAGCTAGCTAGGTACTAAGCTCGTATGGATGGTTCACGGCCTCCTTGCCAATATAAGAGGTCTTGTGAGAGCTAAACGGAGCCACCAGCGAGCTTCTAGCTAGAAGTGTCTTGCACAAGTCTGGTAGACTACATTGTGCAGTTGGTGGCGGCAGATAACCGGTAGGCACAGCTGCATGGCACGTCGTGGATGTATCGGTAGGAGGACGGCCTCTTTGAAACATCATAGGATACCGGTACCAGGGTTCGTTAGTAGCTTCCTGTAGCGGTGTCATTGCATTCCAAAAGAGTGCACACGCGCATTGTTGTTTGTTGAGATGGTGGTTGAGATGGTGGCTCCTGCTGTCGTTCCCTTGTTGTCGCCATCGACGCCATCAGTCTACGCCGCACAAGGCACCCAAAATCGCTGCCTTCAATAGCGGATCAACGAGTTAACAGGCCTCCTCCTCCTCGTCGCTGCCGTCGTCGCCGTCGTCGTTCCATCGTGGAGTTTCTTTTGTTGCTGCCAATCCGTCGTCTTGTTGATTGGTGATCGCTTTTTCGTCGTGCATTCAATTTGGCTCACTGATTCTCCGCCGTTGCTTCTTGTTGGCCAAAGTCTTCCTCCAGCCGCAACACACCAGTAGCTATATGAGTGCGAGTGTCATCTGGGCCCATCATCCCCGGTCCAACATCGAAGTGTCGTCGTAGCCAATTGACGAAATTTGAATATTGGCTTGGCTTGATTCTCCGTCGTTGTTTCTTGCTGTCTCCCTCCGGCCACAGGCCACTATCAGCCAACGCCATCTTACGGCTCCATTGTCACCGCCGTCGCAACCGAAGAGACTTTCGTCGTGGAGCAGCAAGATAACAGTGGGTGAACAGCAACTATCAGGCGGTATTGGCATCACGTTGCCGCCGCAAGCCGACCACACCAGTCGACAACATCAGCAGCGACATGCTGACACCATCGTCACTCCAATGATTCGATTCAATCCGGTGTGTCAAAGGCTTTGGCACACCAGTACCATACTGGTACTGTACGGTAAGCGGTAACGGTACAGGGTGGCGGTACGGCTAAGCTACATGTACAATACGTTTCCTCACCAGCAGGCACACAACTAACTGCATGTTATAGTAAAGGATCGAAACTATAGATTTTAAGTAATAACTAATTCAACTTCCACTGGGAAAGTCATTCTTCTTTCGTGCCCACAGATGCCAAAGGTAGTTGATCATTGTTCTATCCATGGTGGGAAAACTCCAATGAAGATCCCTGCTCCAGGCACTGACATCCGTCTCTTCACCATACATGACTTGAAGAACAGAGTCCAACTCTGCCTTGTACCTCGACCAGAACAAGTCGGAAATCCCTGCCTTTCCCTGGTCTCTGAGAAGTGCAACAGCACGGACATCTTCCGACAAGGCAGCTTCGGAAACAGCTTTGGACAGTGTGTTGTAAGCATGTAATTCGAGACTCATTCCCCCCCAAGACCCCTCCCAAGAATCCATCTTTTCTTCCTGGCGAAGAATTGCCTGGCACTCTTCTCCTCTCTTTTCCAGGAGGATTGTCATGCATTCATGCTGATTGTCGTTTACTGCAGCCCGCAATGGGTGAATAGTCCCAAGCTTCAAGGAACATCCTAGTTCAAGCAAGAGATTGAGTAGCTTTTGAAAATCGAAAGATGCTGCCCAAGACACAGCGGATTGACCTGTCGAGTCAGTGTCGTTGGGATCAATGTTTCTTGTTAGCAAGGCTTGTGTATACTTCACCAAACGTTGTTCCTCCCTTTCCTTGGTTGCACTGTCAGCATCTCGGCTGGATGACTTAATGGCCAAGGCCAATTGAGATGCGTGTAGCCCACGAGTTTCGTCATAAGGTGCGTCCAAAAGGCGTTTGGTGCACTTGGCAAGACCAACTCCACCAGGTTTCCGGATTTCCTGCATGAGGGGAGCCCAATATCCACCTGTAGACAGCCGATTTTTTGTTGACCGATTCGAAGTTCGTCGCCTCTGCTGTAGCTCAGTGGTGCTACTGCTATTGTTGTTCATGTTCGTTCCCTGTTCCGCCTTCGAAAGGTCAGCGGAGGAAGACAATGGGCCAGCACAGTCGAGTTGGCTGGCTGATGCAGGTCTTCAATGGGCAGAAGATGCGCTCTACTCTTCAATCTCTTCTTCGTCCAACTTCTTCTTCTCTCCTTCGATCTGAATGTTTGACCAAAGTATGGCATGCTGAGCGAAGAAACAAGGCTTTGAACAGAGACTGAAAGGGGTTTCCACGATGACAGATGATGACGGACCAAGCCAAACCAAATAAATGCTTCCGTAGATAATTTGCCTACCGTATGTACGTACCCCCGTAAAAAAAAATGATCGAATCGAGTGATTCAATCAATCGAATCGAATCGAATCGAATCGAATCGAATCGAATCGAATCGAATCGAATCGAATGATTTCAATCAATCGATCGAATCGAAACCAAATCGAATAGGCGCCGATTGAAGGCGCCAATTTTCAAAAAGCCCTCCAAGAGTTGTGCCGGCGACTGACACTCTCCGACAAAGGGTGCAAATGCTCGAGCGTCATTCTGCACTCTTCTCACAATATATCACAATTCCTTTCTTCGCTCGGCCAAAAAAGCATCAAAGCATCGAGACATCAAAGCATCAACGCATCCAAAGCATCAAACCAAACAATCACACCATCATTCAACAACAAAAATGGTTCGGTGAGTAGCAGGAATCCACAGCATCGAAGCAGCGCAATTCATCGTCATGCAGTCTCTTGGTCCAACGCCCAACCTAACCACCATCCTCCTTCTCTCACTTTTCCTTACATAGAACCAAGCAAACCGCGCGCAAGTCCACTGGAGGCAAGGCTCCCCGGCGGCAGTTGGCCACCAAGGCGGCCCGAGCTGCTGCCCCTCAGCAAGGAGGTGTCAAGAAGCCCCACCGATACCGCCCTGGAACTGTTGCTCTCCGTGAGATCCGTCGCTACCAGAAGTCGCCTGACTTGCTGATCCGCAAGCTTCCCTTCCGGCGCCTTGTTCGGCAGATTCTAATGGGTAACAACACTGGCCTCCGGTGAGTACAAGCTTGGTTTGGTTTGGATGACATTGCCACCATGCCAATATTGACAAATATCCGCAAACTGACACCTCTATCTTTTTTTCTTGCAGATACCAACCACCTGCAGTTCTTGCCCTCCAGGAGGCTTCGGAAGCCTACTTGGTTGGGCTGTTTGAGGATACGAATCTCTGTGCTATTCACGCCAAGCGCGTGACAATCATGCCCAAGGATATGGTTTTGGCCCGTCGCATCCGAGGGGAGCGAATTGAAGACGACGATGATTCCGGTAACAATGACAATACTGGTACCGGGCCCTAAGCTTGGTAATCGCATCCGGGGAGAGCGTTCTTCATTTCCAACAACAAACCAGTTTGAAGTATGAGCAACAGGCTGTCTATTTGATTTTTTGACAGACCTCCTACCGGTATCAGTTCAATCGACAAAAGTGTCTCGGGTTGGGACCATTCTCTCATGTTGGGGCCATCACTATGATATAGTTGGGACAATATTTGTACTGTACGCATCAGCCATGTCTGTAACTAGCTATCGCCATCAACTTAGCTTTTGCTACGTATTTATAATAAACGTTGTCATGCGACGACAAGTGGGAGTTCCTCCTTTTCGCCTGCACTTGGCCGCGGCGTAGACTGCAAACTAGTCTTCTTCTCGTTTGCTATTACTTACGGCCACCAGCGTTGTTCTAGCAACGTACCGGTACGGGAGGTTACTCATTCTTTCTGCTGTGTTCGTAGGGTTATGATGCGCCCAAAATGGCACTGTTTGCCAGTACATACATGTACGCTGGCACCCTTGTGTGGTGAGCAGCACTTATTGGGTCACTTTCTGACGGTGGTGCAGCTACCGCGACCCAATGCGAGCTGGTCCTCGTACCGGTACCAGTAGGGTACCAGTACATGCGTGATGGTTCTTGTGTCTCGTGGGCGTTCTCTGGTTCTTTCCACCATTATTATGTCTCAACCACTTTGGTGGCGCCCTCGTACTACGGTACATAGTACCAGGTACTAGCTAGTATCCTGCCTGCTTGTAAGATGTGAATTATTATTTTACGTCGACATTGGTCTTTTGACGCGTTCGAATGACAAGGCAAGGCATGTTCCAGGGCTTCTATTCGTTGGACTTGCTGATTGTATCGCGCTCTGTGGCCAATATACATGTAGCTACCACAGGTACGGTACGGTATGTACAGTAGGCTCGCTTCTGTAGCGTTTGATACCGGTAGCTATACGGCCCTGTCGTACTTCTCTCTCCCCCCATCATTGTCGCACCTCATGTACGTACCGGTAGTGTGCCATTGTTGATTGACTCTCTTTGTGCTCTCCCTGCAGCTCACTATTGAAATATATTCCAATCTCGGATGATGATGATGATGATGCATTGGCAAATTGCAATTGCTAGCTGTTGTCTCTTTGCACCTCTCCAGCCATCGGTGTCGAAATGGCGAGCTTGGAAGCCACCCACCTGGTTTGCACCGGCAGGTTTTGTGGTGCCGTACTAAATGCAGTATGGTGCATATATTGTCGTAATAATAGTGCGCTGTTGGATGCAATATCAGTCTCTTTTGAACGAACTGGTACAGTAGGATTCGATCAAGTCTCCTTGGTCACATATAGCACAATCCTTGGCTACCGTAGCTGGCTTGGTGAAATACAGACCAAGGCAAACTGCAGATCTGGTAATTGGCCACGATTCGATTGATTCAATTCTTTGGCAAGGTCCTGTTGTCGATATTCATCCGAACAATGCCATTTCTTTTGCAGGTCTCATGGGCGGTTCCTGCAATGTACATCATGTAGTAGCTCAAGTAAGCTTCTTCTTGGCTCTTGTCTTGGCTCAAATGAACGGATATCAAGGTCCCTACGGCATCAGTCAAACAGTCTTTTTCAAGGCAAACCTTGGATTGAGGACATCCAGCGATTGATCCCGAGTTCTATGACCTGCTGAACAGCAGTGTACATGGCGGCACAAGTCTTTCCTTCGGGAGAAGGACATGCAGCACCAGCAGGTTACGAAGGGCACCCCCCACAAAACGAAGGAGAGCGGATGGCAATGTTGCCATGATTTCAACACAAAGACCTGCTGCTGTAAGAGACCTTGGGGAACTCAGCTCACGTGAAGGAGCGTTGTTGTTGTGTTGGCTGTTCTGTTCTGTTCTGTTCTGTTGTTCCTTCCCCATGGCCCTTGGCAATAAGCACCAACGATCGTGTGACAGTCCGAAGGTCGGCACAGAAATGTGCAATGGAGACCTGTCACCGCTGCGTTCTTTGTTGTCACCATTTCTGCATGATTATGAATAAAACCCCGCATTTTCAAAGGAGGGGGATAGCGTTCCACGTTCTCGGACCCTGTCTTCTTCGCGACTTGTGTCGCAATCAAGGCCTGTCTGTTGTAACTTCTGGCGCCTTGACGATCCCTGGATCGGTCATCCACAGGGGCTCAGGCCGAATCTGGCTTTGCGCGGTCTCTTTCTGCGAACCCATGGCTTGCTACACCTTCTACCGGCAGTAGCTCTTCTTGCCCGCGGTCTGTCACTTCCGCTGTGGACTGAGGCGGAGTTTCGAACTGTTCTGGATCAGATTTGCAAACACGTCCCAAGGAATCAGCGGTCCCTGTTGTACATCCGGACCTTTCTATCTCTCGCTTGGCTGGCAAAGTCAATGTGCGCCCCTTTGCCCTAGAGCTAGGTCTCTCAGATTTCCACATGACCACTGACAGCCGATCCCTAACAATGACCTCCATTTGGCTCTCAGATGTTTCCCAAATCTTGACAAACTTGGGAGCATATATGATCAAGACTGACACAGTGGCAGAGACAAAAGTCAGAAAAGTAAAGAGGAGCGTCCTGACACTTATGGGCAAGTCTTCACCTCCAACCAGTTCTACCAAAAGCAATAGGGTAGCATTGACAGCAAAGTTGTACATGGCAAGCATGACATGTTTTGCCTCTGAAAAGCAATTTGGTAGTGTTCGAGACTGGTAGGAGAGGACACATCCAACAATCACGAGAAGAATGATGTAGGCAAGCGAAATAATGCCCACAACATAATGCTTCTGTGTACAGTATTCTTCCATTGGGTAGCAATCATCCCCGTCGCAGTATCGGCTGTCAATGGACTCTACCATGGTTCGAGTAGCTACATGTGGGTCTTCTACAAACGTCCACACCAAAAGAATGACAATTTGAACCATAATGACAGCACTGATCTTGAGCAGCAATTTTGAATCAGACAATTTATAACGCTGACATTGCTTGGCCTTCATGAACACTCGGTAGGTCCGGTAAACTTTTCCAAACAGGAACGAGAGGAACATGGTGACAGGCAGCCCTGCTGCCCAAAGGGTGGCTGAACACTTGTGTCCTTGGTAGTCGCCAATATAGACAAAGGTAGACAGATTGGTCATCATGGCTGCCAAGACAAAGCAACAGCTGATGTTGACCTGGGATGCACGGATGAGGGCTGAGTCACGATGGATAAACAACAAAAGCAGGACAGCCAAACAAACAACTGCTCCAAGACTGCCCAGAGAGTAACAGATGATTCCAACAGTAGAGGAGATTGGGACATAAGAGCAACTCAGTATGGACTGGTGGTCGGGATTGATGGGGCACGATGGGTCTTCTGTTGTATAGGTGATGATTCGATTGCCACTAGGACCGATACAGTCAGAAACGGTGTACTTGTAGAACTCCGCAGGACATGCATTGTCACATTGGTTGCCATAGCACAAGGCCATAACTTCAATGTCAATTGTAGCAATTCCCAAAAAATTGTCACCTTTAGTAATGGGTTGAGAAAACGTGACCATATTGATGTTTCCAGCTCCTTCATCAAAGTATGGTGCTGTCCAATATCCTGTTCTGATGCCATCCTTGAAAAAGAGACAACGAGGTGCGGTGAACCATTCAGCTGGATTGTTGGTGTCACTGTAATCATAGGAATGAGCAATGTCCATTGTCGGACAGAACTCAGGGGTTGCCTTGGAGCAGTTTGCAAAGGAGTCTTGGGAGGGAGGTCCATGATAGGCATATGGGCAATAAAGTGTCTCGCCCTGAGGGTTGCTTGCCAAGGTATCAAGCCGATGGCTGCTGCTACTTATGCTGCTATTGCTGTTGTTGGATGAGGAATCACCACTGGTTGACTGGCATAGCTCACTGGGGTGGTTCATACAAGCATCTGAGGCTGCTGGGAAAGGCTGGTTATCAAAAGTGTAGCCCCAGAAGGTGAGCAACAAACTAAGCATAGATACCACGACTGCTTTTTCAGCATTTGAATACTTACAACTCCTGCTTCCAAACCGAATGTTTGCCTCCACACATTGGGCTCAAAGGCAATGGCAGACCCATATATCTTCGCCCCATTTCTAACTTTGTGAATGTTGCTCAAGACAATCTCCTTCAAGTCTTCCGGTGTGATCGACCAACTTTCATCTTCTTCATTATAGAATACACTCAGTGGTCTGCTATTGTCTTGGCCAATTCAGAATGCTGGATGAATTCTGATTTGCCATAGTGTTTCTCTTGGTTGGCTCTAAAGTTCATGGATGCACAGGCATCCTCCACACTAAAGGCTGCTCCTGCTGAGACCATTCCAACGAGAGGAGTAGTAATGATAATTCCTGAATGAACCAACATCCAATAGAAGATGTGGCAGAGGCAGCAGGTTGACTTCTTCATCATTGGGTTGTTTGTGAGTAAATGACGATAACAATGAAGACTTTGCAGAGGAGGAAAGCTTTGTGGATGGAGCTGCGACTGGCCAAGTCCTGGGGATCTTGCAATGTGTGGGGACAAACAACAGCCACTTGAGCATGCAGCAGTGAGCAACGAGTGAGCTATCAACAGTGAAAGCAACATCTACTTTACCCTTGTAGCGGACAGCGGAACCAGTACAGCATGTCACTGTACCGGTACCAGTATACCGCTACGGCAAATGCCAAGCCGATTGCATGTTCATCAGGCTGCAAATTCACTGGAGATGGTGACTGGTATTGGAGATTTCGAGTTGAGAGCTAGCTGTCTTGTTGCTGTGCCGTGGCCCTGGAAGGCCCCGTCATGCGACTTAAAGTCCCGGATCGGTCAAAGTCGCGTAGGATCGCTGAAAGTCGTTCACAAAGTCGCGTGCGAGTCGTGTGCGAGTCGCATGCGACTTTTGCACGACTTTCCAAACGACTTTCAGCGATCCTACGCGACTCTGTCACCTTGCTTATAGTCGTACGAGAAAGTCGCACGCGACTTTCATGCGACTTGAATGCGACTTTTCATACGACTTTTGATGCGACTTTGATGCTGTGTGCGACTTTATGCTAATTTTTGGCGACCAGCTGTCGCGTGACCGGGCCTTCCTGAAGACATTCGCTTTTCAAGTTCCAATTAATTGCCTGGGTCAGCTTGACAGCCGCTAGTACCTGGTAGCTTCTCTACTGGTACAGTACAGTACCTTAGAAGCCCAGCTGGCTAAAAAGAAATTCGAATCGAATCGAATACTCTAGTAGATTGATTGAATCAGTCACACCGAGGACGGCTCCAACTCTCAAGCACGGCTCATCGCCAACCAAAATCTCATGTATTGAGTGTTTTGATCTTCTTTCCAGATACCATAGCTCCTCTTCAGTGCAGCCACGGGCCTGCAGTTCAGGCTTCTATAGGCAGAGAAAAGGTGGTGTTTTCCCTATCTAGAGGCAATTTGCCAGGGATCTCAATACCACACCGGCCGACAACGGGAGCGGCTTGAAGTGCATCACAGTAAGCACAGATTCTGGATCCCACACATTTTCTTCCACGTAATTTCGAGTAGATCTGAGCAGTAGAGGACCGATTTTAAGCTTGTGCAGTAGTTTGAGGTGCTAGCTAGTATCGCATGCCTCTTATCGTTTGTACGTGCTTTTCGAAGGATTGATTCGATTCAGTCCGTGACCACCCGTCGATCCCGACATCCTCCTCGGCATTGGTTCAAATCAATTGTACTAGTACGAGTTTGAGCATGATGCGACATGGATTCGACCGACAGCCGCTATTCACGTGTCCCAGAGTGTTTCCAATGATCCAGTCGAAGGCAACGGAGAGAGCCACCATTTCCATGTTCCATGATGGGTCTCACGCTTGAAGAGCAGAATTGACACCTACACTTGTAGAGAGGTGCCTTTTGCAGCATCAGCTTCAACGTCAGTTTGGCGGTACATCTCATTTATTTGCCGAGGCCTCAAAGGAATGAATCGTCACGTAGCCAAAACCATTCATTTGAAAAAGACCTTGCCCGTTGCCAAGACTTCTCTCAGCACGGCCACCTGCCGCGGATCGTTTGTTTGGAGGTCACAAAGATGGAAGCCAAGTGGCCTATTGCCGTAGTAGAGTAGACTATGCTACGGGTTACAAAACGCAGTTGCTCATCTTGCTGCAGTATCATCATCTTTGGGCTATCCATGCATGCAAAGATTAGATTAGTCAGTACCGTAATAAAGGCCCAACCTTGTAGTATTTGCTTCGCTATCCACGAACGAAGTTCTGTTGGATCTTCGGAGGCAAAGACCATCTTGGCACAATTAGTGGGATCGCCTATTGCTCTGGATACCGCTGATATTATCAGGTCATTTGGTCAGAGTGAAACATGGATGAGTGTGAGTTCATGTACGTCATAGACCCTTTTGCTTCCCGAAGTCATTGGAAAATGCGACCGTTTGCGCTTTTGAAAGAAAAACACCACAACACCTCACAGGTAATCGTCAGTCTGTGCTCATCATTCCTTCATCATTCTCTCAAAGTAGTAGTCTGAGTTGCCCAGAATAAGAGACAGGAGGAGGATCAAGACGGATCGAATAGGCGAGATGGAGGGTATCCGGCATGCCTGGAGAGTGTTAACTTTTTCGGACGTCCCGAGCTCTCGCAATGATGCCGCAAGAAACAGAGGAGGAAGAAGTTCCTGGGTCAGCCGTCGTCATCGAGTTCCATTGCATCGAGCTTGTAGTCAGCCATCTTCGGCTGCACGACGTTCCTTTCGTCCTGGAGCTTACCAAGTGACCAAAAGCCAAGCTCCTTCTAGAGAGCATCGAGTGGCGATTCCAGAAGGAACTGCCCCTGGATCCACTTTCACTGCCACTGTGGGCACACACACTGTTCAGGCTCAATGTCCGTCAAACACTACTGCTGGCAATTTTGTACGTGTCATGGTTCCCGGAGAACCAATCACACGCCAGACGTTTTTGAAAGTGGCTCCCTTGACAACAACGACAACCAGAAACAACACAGCACCTACTCACGACCGGCCCCCCAAAATCAAAGTTTCGATACCCACACATGTTCAACCTGGAATGACATTCCAAGCAAACAGCCGAGGCGAGCGATACTCCATTGTTTGTCCCAACAAGATCCCTAGAAATCGCAGAGTCAAGGTCGTGCCTCTCTTGCAAGAACACCACGGACATCACATGGAAGCCACAAACAGCGTGTCTTGCTACACAGCAGATCAGGTCTACAGCGGACAGTTTGCTTTCGTTAGACGTATTGTTATCCAGCATGGCAGGGATAAACGATTGCCTACTGGAAGTTTGTCCTTGGTTCCAGTTACTGCAACAGCTTCTGCTCCGACAGTTACTTTGCTGAATTCACAGGGACACCCATGGCTGCAACGGCCAGAGGACAAGGCCGAACCCAATGGTTTGCATGACATCAAGAACAAGCCATTGCAGGAAAAGATGCAATGGTTCCAAAGTGTGGTTGGGGTCAGCTGTAGCAAGGTGGAGGATCCAACAACAACCAACAGCCGCCATGTCAAGCTTGTGATTCGTCGAGATCACTTGGTAGAAGATAGCATACGAGCCGTCATGAGCCTGGGGACGGAACAACTGCAACAGCCGTGGAAAATACAATTCGTTCATGAACCTGGAGTTGATTCGGGTGGTGTGTCTCGTGAGTGGTTCCAAATCACATCCAAAGCCATCTTAAGTCCGGAAAGTGGACTATGGGTGAGCAGTCCCAACAATCAAAGTTGCCTGGTTGTTAATCCTAACAGTGGTAAGTAAGTGCGATGCAGTGCGGTCCATGAATCCAGGTATGCTCAGCCGCGTATTGTTTAAATCTAACACTCCACTCGATGCCACTGCTGACAGCGAGCGACTGCAATGACCACCTCGTCCAATTCCGGTTTGTCGGGAGACTCCTTGGTCGTGCACTGTTGGATCAGCACATGGTCATGGGCCACCTTGCACCTTACCTGTACAAGCACATTCTGGGTCAGCCCCTTACCATGCAGGATTTGGCGGAACACGATCAAGCCTACGTTGCGGCGCTTGGCAAGTTGAGAGAACTTCTTGACGCTGACGACGAGTTGTCTCAGACACTTTGCCTTGATTTCACAGTGACAGAACGCGTTGCTGGCGTCTCTACTGTTGTGGAGCTCATACCCCGAGGGGCTGACAAGTATGTTACTAGTAACAACTTGGGAGAATACTACAAGCATATCCTTCACTACCGACTCTTGGAACAAGCGAAGCCACAAATCAGGGAGCTGGTATTGGGCTTCTTGGATGTTGTTCCGCAAGAGCCGCTGGCCATCTTTCACGCCAAAGAACTCGAGTTGACACTGTGCGGCCTGCCCAGAATTGAGGTCGGCGATTGGAAGGCAAACACACGATACTCTGGAGCTCTCGCTGCAAATGGACCTGATGACAAACTGGTCCAATGGTTTTGGGAGATTGTAGACAATTTTGACAATGAGGGCAGAGCCCGTCTGCTTCAGTTCGCGACGGGAAGCTCGGGAGTATCCACCAGTGGATTCGCAGCCCTCAAAGGTGCTGACGGCGCCTTCAAGAGCTTTGCCATTCACGGAACAGGTGCCCCTACCAATGCCCTCCCCAGAGCACAGTAAGTAATTTCGCAGCAACGACGGCCAGACAAACATCACCCAGAGTCTGAACACGTTTGATTGCCTTTGTTTCCTTTTCAGAACATGCTTCAACCGTATCGACTTGCCCAGCTACAAAACCAAAGAAGATATGCTGAGCAAGATCGAACTGGCAATGGAGCTCTCGTTAGTGGGATTCGGTATGGACTGAAGCAAAAAGGCACCAGTACCATAGAAATAGCACGAGTACAAAGCATCCGTACACTTGGTAGAATAGAAAGCTCTTTTCATTCGTTTACGTAGATCTGCCAAAGATGGACTGAAGCAAAAAGGTTCCAGTAGCATAGAAATAGCACGAGTACAACGCATCCGTACACTTGTTACGGTGCTGTAGCATAGAAAGCTATTAGGATTTTGACTTTTCATTGGTTTACGTTGATCTGCCAAAGATGGGGGCCATGTCCTGTACAGCCAGGAAGGAAGTTACAGCCGACCGCGTCTAGAGAGGACCAGGATGATGCCACGTAATCGGCCGGTGGCACCGCACACGACCGCAATCTGAGAGCTCACAAGCAGCATGACAGCGCCACGACCAGCAGATTGTCGCCCTATTATTATGCAAGGCTCGTTTTCCAATCTGCTCTAGTTTACAATTTTTTGTTGTGAATCTCTAAATGCTCGAAAGCTGCAGTGTCAATAATAGAATGGTGCCTTAGCCGCTCACTCCATGTCGAAGCCAACCGCCGACAGAGTGATTGATGCCCTCAACTTCTCTTGCAAATCCTTCTTGCTGTGGTAGATGGGAAGATCAATCCGATTAAAGCAGGTGCTGTTCACAAATTAACAGGAAAAGACAAGTGCGAGTGAGAAACTAACGCCACGATTTAAATGAGACCTTCAGAGTCGAGTCATTCGGATGGTGGGGTACTTACTGTGCCCTTGGATACACGCCCACTTCCATCCCATGAACGGCAAACTTTTTGATATTTCCATCGTTTCCTTGCAGGTACGCAAAGCCTCGAGATGGCACTCCCGACGTACCCGTAACAAACTGCAAGAGGCGGGCTTTCATTTCCTGGTCAAAGTCATCCCTGACCGTCTCCCAGAACCATTGCACTACTTGATGCTGCCGCCCTTTCGTCTCGAAGCAACCCGAATAGATACTATTCGCTTCCCAGTCGTCCATTTCTATTGTGGGCAGTCCACAAAGGATGAGTTCCAACTCGTTGGAATCAAACACAGTCAAGGCTGGCTCCGGTGCAATGTCAAAGAACCCAAGCAAGAGCTCAGTCATTTGGTGTTTGCATCTCGCTAGCATTTGATACCTGAGATTAGCTTCAAGGTATTCGACCAGATTTTCCGTGGTGACTTCCTTCATGGCTCCACCTTCGATCAATTCCACTTCGCTGTGTGCTCCCATGTTCTCTTCCGTGACAGTGAAATCCAGGCACATGGCCGAGACATCACCCATCTGTGCCAACTTCTTGAGGGATTGGTAGTAGTCCTCGTCTTGAGCTGCCAAATCTTCAAAAGTGATTGGCCATCCCAGTAGGTGTTTGAACACGTGTCGCGCCATGTGTCCCTTGACAATCTGTCGATCAAACAGGGCTCTGCCAAGCACCCGACCGAGGAAGCGAAAGTACACCAAATGATCGTCTGGACATGAAATGCCTGAAGCATACAGCAAATCACGATAAGACGCAACATGTGTGAGCGCAACTAGTTTCTATCACACTAGGTGTGGCATTGCAGAGAGACAACAACAACATCGAAACATACCACTGGAGGGATTGATGGTCACACAGGCCTGATTGTTCACACTGGACTTCCACAGTCCAAATGCAGGGTCCATGATTTGTTCCGTGACCAATTGGAACCACTCTCGGGTGACACCTCCCGAATCGATCCCCGGCTCTCCCAGAAACTCGAATCGCCATCGTTTCCTCAAATCGTCTCTACCCAAACTCATAATGGCGTCGACGCTATCCAAGAGCAAGTATTTCCGTCGAACAGCAATCTTGATGTGTCCATCTTCCCAGGCACCAGTTAATTGATTGCAAATATTGTGGAACCATTGCGTCTTTTCTTCGAGAGACTTGCCTTGGACAGCAGCAATATCGGCGTAAGAGACTAGTGTTCTGTTGTGCACAACCAATTTGGAATCGACGACGGCATCCTTGGCCGGCACCAGTTCGATTGTTCCAGTCCTCATCCGGGCATCGTTTCCTTCTAGATATGTCAACTTGCGAACATATGCGGACCGTTTGAAATCGAATTTATCCATGGCATCGACATCCAAGGCGGACGCGCGGGTACCATCTGCAGCTGCTTCCTCTGCACTAGCGGGGTTGTCTCCTTCATCGTCGTGTTCCTTGAGCTTGTTGGTGCTAGTGCTGCTATTGCTATTGTTGTTGACTCGAACCCATTGAAATCTCATGTCAGTGACCCGAATGGTCCGACACCAACCACCGGTCGCCGATTCGTAACTCAATTGGATGTGTCCCAGCAATTCCTGAATGGGTAATTGGAATCGAATTTTCTGTCCGGATGCCACGTTGGGAGGACAAGTGACGAGTACTCGTTGTCCATTGGCGACCAATGCAAATGGTTCATTAGGTCCAACGCCCGGCGGCACTGCCACTTCAAATACTTGTGTCTTGGGTGCGGCCATGGGTTCTTCTCGTTGTGTAGGAGGTACGATTCGTACCTTCATGTCGGGTCCTGCATTGGGTGGACAAGTGACGACGAATCGCTGTCCACTGACATCGACAGTGAACTGCATTCCGGGGTAAATATTGGGTGGGATTGTGACTAGAAAGGTTTGTGCTGTGCCACCGGAATCGGACGCTGCCTTGTTGACATTGCGTACTTCTAGAGACATTTGTACGGCCCCGCCTCCACCAGATCCTGCAGCTGCGGTGAGGGGTGCCATTTTGAGAGGTGTGTGGTGTGTGACGGGTTCCGGTGGTAGTGTTATTTGTAGAGACTGTCCTGGTCGTGATGTGTTGGGACATCGCACTCGGACTCGTCTCGGTCCAGCATGTACTGTGAATTCACTCCCTGGACTGACCCCTGCAGGCACGGTGACTCGATACACTTGTGCTGGTCCAGTGGCTGTCCGTGTGACGGCAAAGGCACCTGGGCGAGTCGATTCAGGTCCTCTACTAGTACTAGTAGCAGTGGAAGGAGCCGATGCCGCAGAAGGAGGAGCTGCAGAAGCTGGATTACTGGAAGGAGGCGCCGGTTGGGTAGTAGAAGTGGCGGAACTGGACGTGCTGGACGAAGTGCTTCCCATGTTGCTGCTTTGGTTGTTTGTGTGTCGTGGAGGCCCGGCTGCTGTGGGCATGGCGGTAGGAGCTCTGGGAGGAGCAGCCGAAGGAGGCTGTGCCCCCAAAGGACCCATCGGTGCTGCTGCTCTCATTCCAGGATAAGTACTTCGGCTAGAGCCGTTGTGCTGGTCGGCAGCAGCAGCCGTACTAGGAGCCGCCGAAGAAGAAGTCGTTCTGTTTCCTGGATAAGTCGAAGCTCGGGACGACCGATTGCCGCCGCCCAAGATTTGAAAGATAGGCATCTTGATTGGATTGTTGTCTTCTTATTCTATCGTCTTGGTTCAATGGAGAGTGACAGTCGCTATCATACAACAACGCGGCAGAGTGCTTGAGTCTTGCTGTCGCTGACTCGTGATTTGCTCTTTCTTGTTTCGACAGATCCAACAAATGGAGCTCTTCTGATTGATTCTACAAAGCTAACTAGCACTAAAAGCTAGCTTCAGGATTCAATGAACAAGATAGATTGCTTCTGTTGTGCAGGGAATCCCATTCCTCTTTCGTCGTAGATGATTGTTATTATTTATTGCTGCTTCGGTGGATGCTTGTCTGTTTGTTGATGCTAGCTACCGCCTCTCTCGGTGTTATTCAACGCCGCTGTTGTAAGATCGATTTGATCAAATCATTCGTTTACCCGCTTCGACAGGGTACAATACTTATACCTCATCATTAAGAAGACAATTATTTTGGACTTGCTAGTACACCTCACGGTACATCACACCAGTAGGTAATAGCTTATCGCTAGCTGGCACAGGTGCATTGATAGATTCTGCACCTCCTCCACCAATACACTGAACTCCACTTCAGAGCCTTTTGTCAACTTGAATCTCAGCTCAGTTTGGCTTGTTAATGTACCGGTGTTTCTACTGGCTGGTATGCTACATACATAACTTCAGTACCGACACCACCCCTCCACAGGCACTTCCAAGTCATCAGAAAGCAGCAGAAAGCAGCAGAGACCAGAAAATCTTTAGATCTCATCCCTTGAGCTCTAAACACCAGATATGTCATACTGCAACAAAAGGCTTGCAAGGACCTACTAGTAAATCAAGGCAGCAACCGGCACCCATCAGACCGCCATATCTCCAAAGCTACGGTACCGGTATCATAGAAGTATTATATCATACCAGGTACGGTACCAAGAGGGTGCTTTTTTCAAAAGCACATACATTTCTTAAATCAAGGGTAATTCATCCACTGGATTAAGTCGTGCCGTCTGTACGTCGTCCGATCGCCCACCAACTCACTTTTCTATCGTGCTCGAGCCTTGGGCTCATTTCTCGGATGCACCCCAAGAACAAGTGGAAGCTCTTGCCGGATGCTCCAAACAAGTCCTTCCTCAAAGAAACAAGCGGTGTTGCCGTGAACATCAACAACTGGATCAATGGATGGATCCTGATTCGGCACAAGTGTTGTCTTGGTCGCTGCTGGAGCATTGTAAGACGTCCGGTTGACAAGATCGAGTCGAGTCTCCAAAAGCCTAACTAAGCAACCAAAGTAGTGGAACGCGCTGGTTGTGCGTCTCCCCGCAAGTTCATGCTTCGATTCATTTGTGTTGTCTGCTGGTAGCCAGAACGATAATTTTGGAACATCGCGGGGTCTCGTCAAACATTTGACTTTGACGTGGTGGATGTTGATTTAATTCTGTCTGGTACTGCAACGGCGAAGGCGTTCTTGATACCGTAGTCCTTTGACAGCATTATTTGCCCTTTTGACATCGTTCTTACTGTAGAACGAAACTAGAGTTTCGCTGCTTTGTAGCTAGCTAGTGGTGGGGAGACCGTTGAATCCATTGATGTTTGCTACAGAACGCACAACCAAAGATGGCATCATAGTCGGCCTTCTGGATATGGTGGTGGGGCATTGCGTTCATTTCTCTTGGAAACAATATGATCGGGGAAACTCGTGTCAGCCCCGCACTTTGACAGTGCCGCCAAGTTGATACTCTTTTGCAACTTGGCCAGGAGGTCTTGGGCAACCTCATTTTCCACTTGAATTTCAGAGGAAGCTTTAGTTCCTCGGCTTGGGGACCTTGGCTACTAGAAGTGCTCAACGAAGCTCCCATGGCGGATGACGCTGGGACACACAGTCAATGACAACCGGTACCAAGGTTGTGTGTGACCCTACAACAACCTGCTCTAGGTGTGGTTGGTAGAAGAATTATTATGGAAACATGAGCCTTTTTAGCTGGTGGTCCTAGATGTCTTCTACAAGTTTGTACTCCCGTACGCTCCAAGAGTGACTAAATTGGTGTTCGGTCAATTTATGTTTTGCACTGAGATCGTTGATGTGTCACAATACGCTCGCTTTCACTCCTGGACTCGCCGATGGTGTGAACGAGTTCTCGTGGAGTTGGGGCAGCATTGGCCATCGCTTCTTTCCAACATGGTGGGCTTTCAACGTAAAAATCCAGGAAGAGATCGGACAAAGCGTCATTTTTCAGTTTTCGATGCCTCTCAGGTCCTTGTACGTTTTGCCCCCCCACGCCGAATGGGCCGTTCGTCGGGACTACTTTCTGTGGCGTCTTCCACTGGGGCTTGTCTGCGCTCTTCAACTCGAGCGCGTTTCGTGGGTCGCCTCATGAAATCGTCCATGATATCGTCGTCCGGAAAACGGTAAAAGTTGTACCAGCTGTCAAACATGGTTTGGTCGCCATCGAAATCTTTACCCCCACGCCAATTCCAATACTCAAAAAGCTTCCGCAGATCAAGCACTTCGTACGGCTCCACATCATCCATGACTTCCAATGACAAATCCACGCCAGAAAAAGCCAGGGCCAATGCGTCCACTTCAGGAGCCAAATACAAGTCTTCTCGGGTGCTCATCTGGTCGATTGTGCTTATATAATATTGTAGGACTTGGAACCGTGGCTATCTTCGAGACCAAGGCTGATTGTGTAGGAAATCGTACGGTATTATAGGGGCTGGAACTGTGGCTATCCTCGAGGCCAAAGCGGATTTTGTTTGAGCTCGAAGGAACCTTTGCAAGCATCCTGGGAGGATGGTCGTTTAGAACGGCACCATACCCGATTGTTCATGGTGTGGTTATGGAGTATCGTTTCATGTCGACGACGGTAAATGTCAAAATTAATCCATCATGGTAGACGGGGCCATTTCGGTCGCGTTGTTCCCTTCCTCGACTTGACTTGGGTCAAATCTCGTCATCTCGGAAACCGACTGGTACTGGTACACCTGCTCTGGTGCTTTTTCCTTGGACTGAGCCAATCAACGGATTTCAAATTTTATTTTGGATTCGGAAAATGAATACATTTATCTACGTTTTGCGTGGATAAATAGTGATTTTTATTCTGACATCTTCATTTGTTTTTACCTGGGAAAGAAAAAGCGAATATAATGTATATTTTAGATCAAACCCAATTACCTATGTTTTAAGAACATTCCTTTTTCGCCCAGTGCCAACCACCCCCGGCTGAAACGCCCAAAGATCCCGTGAGCATCATGGGTCTGAAGTTGACGATGAGATGGTGTTCAAAAAATGCAGAAACAAATGATACCGTACGGTCGCTAATGATACGGCCGCAAACGCCTTTTCTACATGCGGCTACAGTGAGTTGGGCAGTCCTTGGCCTTTGCCCGTGGTGGGTTTGCAGTTGCAAAGTGTTGTCAAGCGGCAAAGGCCTGGAAACCTGGAAAGTACACTGTACGTGGCGTGCCAACATCGTTGGAATTTCTTGAGCTTGTTCATTGCACAAGAAAAAGATCTGGGGTGTGTTCGGCAGGGTTTGATGAGACATTGTACCGTGTCAATCTAATGGTTTGTGTTCCCAGTACAGGCTTGTACGGTACCGTGACGATGGTGGCCATCGTAGGCCCTTCCAAAGTCTACCAAAACCCATGATGGTATTCGTACTTTTTAATCTTTGTTTCCAGTACTATTTACTCTTAACTCGCTTGTTCACAGGTTCTCTATTAGTCTTGCTTGTGTCAGCCTCTATTCAGTGTCTTTTTGTCATCACATATTATACAAAAACCTGCTCTTTTCTTTTCGTTTCTTCTTGCGGCGGTCGCTCTGTTGCTTTCTCCTCTCCTCGCCGTTTGCTCACGCCAAAAGTCCCATATCTCCTCCATTTTTCTTGGCCAACTTAACTAGGTTTGTTCGAAGAGTCTTAGGAGCCTCGCTGATCCATTCGTCCATGTCAATGGCACCATTGCCATCAGCATCCGCTCGTTTGAAAATACCCTCGATTTGCTTGTCCTTCAACCAGCTGAAGCCAAGGGATTGAAGCGCCGTTTGAAGCTCTTTCTTGCATATTGTTCCATTTCCATCCTTGTCAGCAAGACGGAACAAAGATCGGAGGACGGCATCACCAAATGTCGAGTCCGACGTCTCCACAAAGGAACCAATGACATCAGAATGCAGCGAGATCACCTTGCCTCGTACTTTGTTCAATATCTCATCCCCCAAGACTCCCTTCACAAACAAAACCATGGGAGAGAACACTCCTTCTTTATGAGCGCCCGCCTTCAGCTTTTTGGGTGCCGCTGGCTTCTTTGGGGCAACCTCGGGAGGAGTGGGGACTCGAGCTGGCTGTGCTGTTGCTGCCATTTGGATTTGTTCCTTGATCGTTTCTTCTTCCAAATTGACAGGAGAGGCAAAGAATGGAACAGTCTCTGTGGACGACATGTGCAGTGCAGTCCTTCGAACGAAGTTGCTTCCAGGAGTTGTCGGCTGGAAAGCGACTGCAGAAGCGGCGATAGCAACGAGCGTGAGAGATCGGATCATTTTGCTTTTCGAGTGGTGTAGAGTACAGAGTAGCGTGAACGGCTGTGGTTATATTCTTTTCGGGCTGAGTTTTGATATTGTGGGTTTATTGTGAGTTTTATTGTGAGCGTCTCATGTTGGTTTCCATGGCAATCCCATCAGTAGCAGTTGAATACGTGTCATGGGTGGCTGATGCTTTGTCAATGCTACGTGAGTTTGCTTTGGTTTGGTTTGGTTCCACCTCTTGGGAGCAAAAGTAAGTGAGCAGATCCACGTCACCTCTCCAGGTCATTTCAATCCCACCACACATAGTTGGATCAAACACGTCTCCGTTTCACTAGTTAATGCTTTGTGTCGAAGTTGGGTCTCTGGGAGGATGATACTAAATCTCTTCTTCTCACTGGTTGTACTTCGCTACCGGGAGTACTCGGCTCGACACTGCAGACAGGCGACGTAACCAGTTGCTGTCTGACTGCATCCACATTGCGTGGGAGTTGGCTTTCGTCACGATACCGCGGCGTTCGAGCCAATGCCAGATGCCAGAGATGCTGACGGCGTGGCTTCTCTCACTTGTTCCCACAGACTCAGAAGCTTCTACTGGAGTTACCTTGCTACCGTTGTAGGTGAGTGATGCCAGCTGGAGGACAGTGACACAGCGACGCAGCGACACACGTTGATCAAGAAACGACTATGGGCAGCTTGGTGATGCAAGGTAGCTGCCTGGTTGCTACTGCTAGCTAGTTAGCTCTGAAGTCGTGCATGCAACAGGCAAGAATGTTTGGGGCACAGAAACTGGCTACTGGTGCTAGGGAGCAATCGTCCAGCCAATCAACCTGTTCTCCTATTCCATCTGATGTCTCTGTGGCTGACGGTGAGTTCGTTCTCACATGATGCGGGAAAGAGGGGCGAACACAATCCCACGGGGACAATACCGGCAGTTGCACAGACAGGCTCAATAGTACTAGTACGCGCCTCTCACTGGTACCGCTGGTACGTTGCGATCGTTGCTGGTACGTAGGTTGCGATCGTTGCCGTAATACGGCTGTACTCAAGAAGGCAAAGAGGGGAAAAACGTGCAATTCCCGTAGGATCGATGCGATCGTCCTCTACTTTAGCTACCTGGTAGCTAGCAGTTCAGTTTTCCTCACTTTGAGTTCGTTGTTTTGAATCCTGCAACTATATATAAAGGAACTCTGCAAAAATTCCAGCTCAACCAAACCAACAATTGCTTAGTTGACCAAAAAAGCCAATTCCTCTACTATGGCCAATGCTGGACCAGCCTTTGGGTTGGAAGACATGCCGGAACTGCCTGCAGCACCCACGTAACAGCCCAAGTGCAACCCAGAGTACCATGGACTCTTCGTCAAATTCATGAGCTGACTGTACCGGTACAACGGAGTTGAAACTTCACGAACTTTCTCTCCCCCCACCTGACCTTAGACACACGCCGTGGACCGTGGAAATCTCAAGAACAACGATCCACGCGATGTCAGTAGCTGGTACAAGGCCTGTAGATGTACGGTACGTGCATCCCAACAACACGACCAAGCCATCTTCCGACTTGGCTCCAACGACGCCATTCGACCATGTTACAATAGTGTTATCTTTTCAATCCGACTCCCCTCCCCCCCCCGAGAGCAGCTCAAGTGGAGGTTTCCCCTGCCGGTTGCGCTACCGTAGCTGCTGGTTTTGAAAATCGTATCGTATCGAATCCCGCGGCGCGAGAACGACGTTACTTTGGTAGGGAGATCCACGTTCAGAGCCGCAGGGCCTTTCGGGTTGAGAAACCTAATCTCACTGCTCTGTTTGAAGGTTGTCTCTAGGTTCTTGGCTCTACTAGTAGTTCACTCCGCCTTGGATTGGCCGGGTCAACCTCGCCGCGGGCGCTTCCCCGAACCAATGACCCGAAACCCAGTTTCGCCGTTCCCTCTCTTCGGAACCACAGTTCCCTCCAAAAGTCGGCCCACAGCTTTTTAAACCAGTCTTTCGGTGCTTCACTTAGAACAGGAAGCTGGCAGCCTTGGCATGACAGGCAGGATCTTGCATCCAGCCGAAGAGGACCAAACCAAAAGTCTCACAAATCGGACAGCTCGAAAAAGCAAACAAGCAATCGAACGAAAGACAGCACCATGGCTCGGTAAGACGATGTACTGCCGCTCCAAGAGGAGATAGATAACCAAGGCTGCACTTTGTCTCCGATAACCAGCGCTGCTTTGTCTCACACCCTCTCCTTGTTCTTCCCACTCTCTCAAACTCACAGAACCAAGCAAACCGCCCGCAAGTCCACTGGAGGCAAGGCTCCCCGCAAGCAATTGCATACTAAAGCAGCCCGCATGAGTTGCCCTAACCATGTAGGATGCAAGAAGCCCCACCGATTCCGCCCTGGAACTGTCGCTCTCCGTGAGATCCGTCGCTACCAAAAGAGCACCGACCTCCTCATCAGCAAGCTTCCTTTCCAGCATCTTGTGCGTGAGGTTGCCCAAGACTTCAAAGCTGATCTTCGGTGAGTACTGTACCATGTGTTGTTGGGTTGGAAGAGATTGGAAGAGTTTGCCACCACGGCACTATCAGCAAACTTACAGCACAGCACACCTTACCCATTTTTTATTCTTTACAGATTCCAAGGATCAGCACTCCTTGCTCTCCAGGAAGCGTCGGAAGGATATCTGATTGGACTTTTTGAGGATACTAACCTCTGTGCCATCCATGCCAAGCGCGTCACCATCATGCCCAAGGACATCCAGCTCGCGCGCCGCATCCGGGGAGAGCGAGCCTAAACACCACAACTAGTACCATGTTGGGAAGTCGACAGCCTATACTACCATCATCCTACGAATTCGATGACACCAAGAGTCTCTGGTTGGGGCAATTCTCAGGTTGGGGGCCGTCACTGTAGTAGGGAAACCATTTGTGCAATGGCTACATTAGCCATTCTGTAATTTGAAATAATATTAGAACTCTCAAAGAAACATCAGCAGCTCTCTCTCTCTCATAACTATTACTTATTAGCCTGTAGATGCCCCACACCACCAACAATAACATTATAGAAGTACTGAAACATTAGCCATCTCTTTGACTTCCAATATTTGTGTGTCACGGCTACAGTAGCCCGTGTCTACCTTGCAATAATATATGATCATTGAATTGAAATATCACGCGCCATCAACTTAGCCCTTGCTACCTACGGTATTCTGCTTGGCCCTATTATACACCCTTTTCACCTGCACTTTGCCGTACGTACCGGTACATGTACACATGTACACTTGCACCGGTGGGCAGCACTTCTTTGGGTCACTTTCTGATGGTGGTGCAGCTACAGCGACCCTTCGCGAGCTGGTCCTCGTACGATAGTAGATGGTACCGTTATGTGCTTTGCTGTTCTTGGTGGGCGGTGCGATACTAGGCTAGTAGCCAGTCTGCAATGAAAGGATTCAGAAAGCCGAAGATCCACCATTCCTCTTCTGTCTGTAGAATTTTAAAATTGGAGACGGGCGGGGCGGCTTGTAGCCCGAGATGTGGCTGAATGCTTGAAGGGAGTGGGCGCAAACTGACACTATGCAAACTTGCTAGGTAGTACAACTTTGAACATACAGTGTACGGTACTGTACCGGTAGACTGGCCAACGATGTCGAGATGGAATGAGCTTAGCATAGACAAGTGTTAATACACTGTTGACAGTTATCTAATGAACCGAGCATCTTGAGCTTCAAGCTCCTCTTGGTAGAATGCCTCCCATCTATCTATCTATCTATCTATCTACGAGCGACTCTTCAACCGTAGATTCGTTTGAGGGGCCAGAACGGCTCGAAAGGAGTCGATGATGCCTGCAATTTTTTCGTCCGATCCCTTTCTCCATCGACCTGCGGAAGCACTGGCAACGAGCATGACAACCTGCGAGGATCCCGGTGGAATAGTGGCAACGACTCGTGCCTTGCGTGGTACTTCGGCTCCGGTGGATTGAGAGAGAATGGAAAAGTCAATGTCCATAGTCTTGTACGCATCGTCATCGGAGGGTGCCTTGGACTTTTTGATTTTCACGTCCGTGGGAGCACCATAAAAAGAGAATCTTCCAGTGGGCGAGAAGAGTTGTTCCTGAAAGAATTGATTGTCGAGTTGCAGAATGGACTTTCCTTTGACATTGGAGCTTACGGCCAGATATACACCATCGCCAGTGTTGCCGTCGCGACATTCCACATCATAAGTGGATCCGGAAGCTAAGAGTTGCAACAAAACAAAGAAAACAAACGCAATGAATGAATTGCTCAAATGTGAGTTCATTTTGTCACAACTGGCAAGGTCACTCAGGACTGCAATATATATATGCTTAGTTCAACCTCACCCAACGGCCACGGCGATGAGAAAGTGGCGAGAACGGGTACGAATTCGTCCTTGTTGGCTTGGAGTACAATTTCAGCGGCCACATTTCCATTTCTAGAATCTCGGGACAGTTCAGCTCCATCTCGTAATACGACTCCTGTTTCCGGTCTCATTTTTCCACCTTGTCCCGATACCCCCATGGGCATGGACACGCCACCTGATTTCAAGTAGGAATCAACATCAAGTGAGTCCATGGCTTGTGCAGCAGCAGGTGCCGTCGTAGCGGCAATTCCGCCCATCAAGAGATCTCGTAGAACATTTCTTCGGGTGGATCCATCGGCGACATTGGCACGTGGGGCCAGTGCATGACACTGGCAAAAGAGAAGGAGAGATATTGCTGCCTTTGGGAACATGCTGATAATCGTGGCTGCTAGCAGCTAACGCAAGAGGTATTATTGGTTGTCAGGAAGATTGTGTCTGCAGTGAGAAAGGGTCGAGCCCAGGAGGCGTCAGAGCGAAGATACCGTACTACATGTAGTAGATTGATGAGCTCCAATGAGTCAGAGTTGCCCGAGTGCAGGTCCCTTTACATCTTTCACAGTTCTGCCGTTTTATATGCTCCAAAGATCTTTTTAAATAAGTCAGCGAGAGCTGCGATACCTCGGCAGAAAGACAGATAGAAGAAGGAGGATCATGTTTGAGATTACATCCTTCCTTCAAGCTAGCCCTAGCCCTGGCGACAACACCCGACTTCATCGTGTGTTGCCACCCACTATCATTCTCTCATTGTAACCTTCTATTTTATTAACTTAGCCTTGGCCCCGGCTAACCCATAATTTACATCTGTCATTCCATTTGTAACTCTAGTTTTACAGCTCTTGCTGGCTTAAAATGTTTTTGTGCTGAGTGCACTAATCTTAAATATTATTGATTTATTCCTACTCCTAAATTCATTTGAACCTTCAATTACCAGTTTGGTTGGCTTATGACTATCTCTATCCCTATATTTTGGCTTCACTCGAATAGGAAATAGGAAATGGGAAATATCGAAAAAGGGGTGAGGGCTCAGGAGCGTGCCTCAAAGGGGAATCCCGGATTTAGGGTAGAGTTTCGAAATAGGGCAGAGTTTGAAACTCTGCCCTAAATCTTGGGTAGAGTTTGAAAACTCTACCCTATAGGGCAGAGTTTGAAACTCTGCCCTAATAATTAGGGCAGGGTTTTGAAACTCTGCCCTAAACTGTACCCTATAGGGCAGAGTTTCAAACTCTGCCCTAAATCCGAAACAGCCTACGTAGAAACACTACTACTGGCTACGCAATCCCGTTTCGATTTAGGGTAGAGTTTCAAACTCTGCCCTAATTATTAGGGCAGAGTTTTCACACTCTGCCCTATAGGGTAGAGTTTAGGGTAGAGTTTCAAACTCTACCCAAGATTTAGGGCAGAGTTTCAAACTCTGCCCTAAATTAGGGCAGAGTTTCAAACTCTGCCCTAAATTAGGGCAGAGTTTCAAACTCTGCCCTAAATCCGATTCGAAATCCTACCCTAAATCGTGGATGGTGACCGTTGAGGCACGATCCAGGCAGATAGACTGCCAAACTAAAGAGGCTGCTTTTGATCAACGTCGACACTGATGAGGTTGCATGATGACCGTCCATTGTCTTTGTGGTGGACCGTCGATTCATGGTGGACACCACGCTACCCAACTATTAAGTCAGCTCAGCAGCAGCAGCAGCAGGAAGAAATTGACAGTATCCTTCCACAATCGTCTCGACTGTGATGAGACAAGAGCCAAAACGATAGGAATTGGAGGCTGGGGTGTATTTGGTGACTCTGTACGTTTAAAAAAAAAAAAGCATACTACTGATCTGCTTGATTGGCTTGTGAAAATGATGATGATGCCTACCAGTATTCCACCCAACAGCAACACAGATGTTTATTAAATTTGCAACTGGCTGGGGCCAAGGTAATACCAGGGTTTTGCTTTGCCAAGAGAGGAAGAGGCATCAGACTTCTTGACATGATTGTTGTTGTGGCAATTGTTCTTGTTTGCAGCCTTTGTTGCTTTTGGCTGTATTGTTGATGTTGTTGTTTGCTTTCTGTGGATTTGTCTTCAAGTCTTTCTGCATGCATACATCAAGACTCTTTCGGGTGGAACCCTTCAGTTTGACCTGACCTTTCTTGGTTGCATGCTGAACAAGCAAGCCACTGGTGCACAGTTTTGTGAGGAGATGTGGTGGCGAGTCTGTGCACTGTGAGGCGCATGCTTGATCCAACTTTTGATTCATCATTCTCTATTACATCTTTCGCAACAACAGGTTCAAAAGTAGCTAGTGTATGATTAAATTAAAACCCAAGCCTTTTAAAGGACTATGATAGACACGTAGAGTACTGAACTCTGGCCCCTCCATAGCCGGGTTCCTGGATAGAAGAAGTAAAATATGTTGGCTGACCAGCATGTTACCAACAAATCAAAATGTGCCAGACCCTCTTATAGACTTTATCATATGGGCAGTGCAATACACGGCTCTTAGCCTTATTCGCGACTCGATCCTAGATAGGGTTTGAGTTCGACTCATGACTGCATCAGTTGCAAAAATTTTTGTTTACTAGTTAGTGAGATATCTTCATCACTTGGTATGAGAAATCGAAACATGGTTCCGTTGAGTCATCATCCTGGCCTAATCCTAAGATAGAGATTTTTCCATCCAAGTGATTAAAATTGATAGAGGAGTTGTCCTCATTGTCAGAGTCTTCTGATTTGCGCTTGGCAACATGGTTGCGAAGTTTGCAGTGGTTGCACGAGTATCGTCGATCTGTTTTCTTCGTCATTGTCGACGAGAGGAAGAATGGGTTGTCACGCAACTGTTTCTCGAAGTTGCGGAACGCAGCTTTCCTTGGCCATCTTCATGGTGAAGGAATAGGTTGAGGGTAGCTGAAAGCTATTGTGTTTGTTAACAAAATGCACTACGCTAAAAGTAGTGTAAAGATCTTTCGAGTGTTTTGAGTTTGAGAGAATGAAAGTTATGAGAGAGATTAGAAAGCTATGAAAACTAATCAACGAGAGAGATCATCATCAAGGGATCGTAGATCTGGCTTCCCGCGGGAGACTATGAAGTGTGATGGAGTAGGTTGCGGAAGTAATCCTACGTCTCTCACGATCCTAAAACGGAACCGTGAAGGTTTGTCTAGCCTGGATCTAGTAGCGTGGAAGTACTCCAGCTGCTAAATATCTAGAGCGATGTTTATATCATAAACCTAGTATGACTAGCGCGGTCATTGAGAACCTGTCTCAAATGACTATTCACTAGAGACTCAGT